TCCTTATCCGGTCTACCTTCATCCCCAATTAGTCCGAATAATTGAGGTTCTACTGTATTTATTACTTAATTGAAAGATATCAAATAAGTTAAATCAGAGTTCATATAATGTTGATAATACCAATCAAATATAATAAATATAAAAATTAACTAAAATGTTTTTTGGTATATATATAATGTAATATATTCCAAGTATTGTTAATGTTTATATATATATATGTTATATATAATTTGTTTACTGTATTTATTTTTTGACAATAATTTTGTATTACAAGTTTAAAAGTATAGTGGATTCTCAAATAACATGAGGAACATAAGGATTGTGTTCTGAGTATGTCACATGTATTTTAAATTTTGCATAATATAAATAAATTTTGTTATTTAAAAATAACAGTAAATACCATAGCATAGTATTTTTATGATAATGACTTTGAAATTTAGCACAAATGAAATTGATCCTACTAACACACTATAGAAATATATGACTCAGCATACAAATAAATAGTCTCAATATATAACATGAAGTAACATGCATAAAATGAAAATAATTTGGATAAGCTAGAATAAGCTAAAATTAAGAACAAAGAATAAAGATAGCTACAAAACAAGAATTAACTTTTGGAAGGTTCTCAAAAACAACAAAAGACATGAAAACAAAATGTAGTGGCAAGAAGGAAGACAAAACAAATAGTTAGAAAAAAAACCAATTTAAAAAGATAAAAACAGATGATTGTTAGAATTAATTTAGCTTAGTTCAATAGTTGTACATTTAAAAATCATAGCATGTAAATGAAGATCTCATTGTGAATTATAAAAAAAATTTGATTATGGAAAGTTTTGTTTTAACTTGAAGGGACTATGCAGATCTTCTCCAAGCTGGAAGATCTGCATAGTCCCTTCAAGTTAAAACAAATAGAATAGAATAGCTGAAAAACTTAAACATTCTTTAAAATGTTTATCATAACAAATTTTTAAAGTCATTATCATCTGAATGTTATGACAAATGTAAACATCACTGTTAATGGCCAAAGGCATAACTACAGTATATAGAGCATATAATTTTGAATCATTGACGTATTTTGAACAATATGCATATTTAAAATATACTCATTGTTGTGTTATTTTAAAATCTCACATTTCAAATGTGTAACTTGAGAATCAAGTATAATTGAATGACATATAGTAACATTACTGTACTTGTAACTGTGCATTAACATATATGCATTTTTATTTATTCTGAATTTAATAAACTATATAAGTTATATAGGAATCACAATTTTTAACAATAGAAAATATATAATTATTTTAACAATAGAAAATATATAATTAAATTTTAAAATACACTTTTATAAAATTAAAAGATTAAAATTCTACTTAGTTTACAATGATATAATCTACTTACATTATCATTTTAAAATTTATTTGAAAGTATATTTTCATTAATAATAGACTGAAAATGAATTTGTATAATAGGTTATGTATATTAAACTTTTTATGATAATTAATGAAACCTACACATATTTTTAATTCATGTTAAAAAAATATATATTTTTACCATATGTGTTTAACAATATAGTTTTGTTTTTAATTTTTCTTCAACCACACAGCAAAACAAAGTTATTTATTGATTTTTAAAATAAATAGCTTAATTCTTAGATAAGCAGTTTAAGTTGTATGGTATAAAATATTTGTAAGAATTAATATCCAAGTAAATATTACATCAAGAATTCTTGCTAAAATTTATAAATATTATTTTTAAAGGCAAAATTTTTATACTTTAACACCCAACTTTCATATTTATATATGCATAAAGCAAAGTTTTGCAACATGTTTTTCATTTAATCCCATGTATTCAACCTGTGGCCTTGTAGTTTCCTTTAGTAAGTTGTTTATAATGCAATGAAAACAGATATGATACATCTATATTGTACTTACAATTAATAACTAATGTATTTCCCAGAATAAAAATGGAGCCAATGTACTGGATCTTGAGTGTCTATCTCTAATTTTCTTGTAAAATACAATTTCAATAATAAAAATTTAGTAATTCATGAATTTTATCATAAAAGTTATAAAATAATTATAGTTTACAAATAACTACAATCTAAGACCATTGTTTTTGTACAATTCTAATCCAATACAACAAAATGCTTACAAATTATGGGGTTATAACATAACTGTATTGCATTTTATTGTATTGGATTAGATTTGTACAAAAACAATGGTCTTAGATTGTAGTTATTTGTAAACTATAATTATTTTATAACCTTTATGATAAAATTCATGAATTACTAAATTTTTATTATTGAAATTGTATTTTACAAGAAAAATAATAAAACAAGGTTGCTAGATAACACTAATAAAAATAAAGGATTTTCCTTATAATCAATCAAATATCATCTTCCAATCCTGTTCAGTTCCATTCAGAACTGTTAGTCTGATAGTCCATATTAATTAATGATCATTGGATCCACAACAATGTCTTCAGAAGAAAAGTTCAATTTTTAAGATTCTTTTACATTTTTAACACATACTTGACAAATGAGGACCAAATGGACTGGTTGATAACATTTATACTTACTTCAAATAAAATTCTGGTATCATCCAACTTGAAAGTTTTATCATGATGTGGAAAAAAAAAAGTGTTGAGCTGACTCCAGGCTAACTCAATCAGGTTAAGTTCTGTATGATATAGTGGTAGACATAATATTGTGTGGTTTGCTGCTTTAGACATGTCATCAGCATGATAACTCAAATAATTCAGCTCCTCTATTTTATCACCTTCAACTATTCTCTTTTCAATTATTCTGACTACCATGGTTCCTTTCTTAGTTAACCAATCACAAATTTTGTTTTCTCCACATATTTGTGGACAGATTCTCAAAGCAAATGCTGTGATTCCTTGCATCATTCATAACAATAACACGCAGAACAAGTGTAATAAGTATTTTGAACCATTCTTCAAAGCAGAAATCATTCATTTCTTGATAATAATCACAATTGCCATTTGATGAAAAAAGTAGGAGAACACAAATCCATTTTTATTACCTGTATGGACACAGATTAAGTTTTTCCACAACCATTTGGATGGCTTAATCTAGTTGACAACCCATGAAGAAATGCACCTTGATAAGATTTCACTGTACTGTTTTTCCAACATTTGGAAGCCATATGACTAACATCAATGAAGGTTTCATACAGATAATAAACATTCTTTTCTTGACAATATTGACAAATTGCTTTAAAGTGGTGATGTCTCCAAGAAATCAGTTTGGATGATTTTTGTAATTTTGAATTCCGATTTCAGTGATCAATCACAAACTAATTTCCTTCAATTTGCAATGCAAAGGTAACTTACTATATTTGGTAAATTGGTATCACCTATTTCTCAAAGTGTAACATTCTCATGAGAGGCTAATTTCTAAAGAAAAATCAATGAATTGTGCTTCTAATGGCCAGGAGAAAATTCATTACATTTCATATCCTGTCTTTTTTCATACAAAATCTCTTTTTAATTAGTGACTGCATCTTTCCACCTGTTGATTACTATTCTTTCCTCACAACAAAAATGCAGACTTCAATTCTGACACATCAATCAGAATTGAAGTCTACTGTTCAACCTCTTCAACTTACAAAGATGGATTTTGTTCTCATAACTAAGCATACAAGGTCTGTTCAAAAAGTATCGGACGTTTTTTTTTTCCGCGTAAACCAATGATGCGCGAGAGGCTTCCTTTGGTGGAGTTGTGGAGGGGACAGTCATGCACATCCCTGAATTTTTTCCCGCCTGCAGGAAGCGTCAGTTGTTGGCAATCGGCNAATATCATCTTCCAATCCTGTTCAGTTCCATTCAGAACTGTTAGTCTGATAGTCCATATTAATTAATGATCATTGGATCCACAACAATGTCTTCAGAAGAAAAGTTCAATTTTTAAGATTCTTTTACATTTTTAACACATACTTGACAAATGAGGACCAAATGGACTGGTTGATAACATTTATACTTACTTCAAATAAAATTCTGGTATCATCCAACTTGAAAGTTTTATCATGATGTGGAAAAAAAAAAGTGTTGAGCTGACTCCAGGCTAACTCAATCAGGTTAAGTTCTGTATGATATAGTGGTAGACATAATATTGTGTGGTTTGCTGCTTTAGACATGTCATCAGCATGATAACTCAAATAATTCAGCTCCTCTATTTTATCACCTTCAACTATTCTCTTTTCAATTATTCTGACTACCATGGTTCCTTTCTTAGTTAACCAATCACAAATTTTGTTTTCTCCACATATTTGTGGACAGATTCTCAAAGCAAATGCTGTGATTCCTTGCATCATTCATAACAATAACACGCAGAACAAGTGTAATAAGTATTTTGAACCATTCTTCAAAGCAGAAATCATTCATTTCTTGATAATAATCACAATTGCCATTTGATGAAAAAAGTAGGAGAACACAAATCCATTTTTATTACCTGTATGGACACAGATTAAGTTTTTCCACAACCATTTGGATGGCTTAATCTAGTTGACAACCCATGAAGAAATGCACCTTGATAAGATTTCACTGTACTGTTTTTCCAACATTTGGAAGCCATATGACTAACATCAATGAAGGTTTCATACAGATAATAAACATTCTTTTCTTGACAATATTGACAAATTGCTTTAAAGTGGTGATGTCTCCAAGAAATCAGTTTGGATGATTTTTGTAATTTTGAATTCCGATTTCAGTGATCAATCACAAACTAATTTCCTTCAATTTGCAATGCAAAGGTAACTTACTATATTTGGTAAATTGGTATCACCTATTTCTCAAAGTGTAACATTCTCATGAGAGGCCTTGTATTGACAGAAAATATCCTTAAGAATTTTAATGCATTTCTTTTGAGATATTGGTTTTTCATTTATACAAATCTTTTGTTTATACAAACACATTCCAGGAATGCAATCTGTATGTAAATCATGATTGCAATATAATTTCAATTAAAATGAACTTACTTGATGTAGGAGTTCTTTAATCAAAGTTTTCTCTTTTTGCAAATCTTTTTCCATAATTTCTATTCTACTTTTTAATTTACTTTCTTCTTCTTCACGATGTTGTACTATACTTTGCATTTGTTGTTCCAAATAAGAAATAGTTTTTTCTTTACTTGTTATTTGCTTTTCCAAATCTAATATTTGATTCCTTAATATGTCATGGCTACTATTCATTCCTAACAATAAATATATGATTAATATACTTTATTTAAAATACATATATAATAAAAACCACAATATCATAATTAACAGGTATACTATTACAATGATTTAAAAATGTAATATGCAGAGATTTTATGCAACATTTTATGCAACATTATTACTTTAGTTTTAAAAAAAATATTAATTTATTTATTTATATATAAAATTTTGATGATTCTAATTTAATGTTATTATTTCTCTTTCTTTTCATTTATAAAATTAATTTCAAATAAACTAGATATTTTTTATTTTAAAATAATTTCTTTAGAAATAATTCAGTTGTCATTTAAAAAAACTATTGATATTTAAGAATAGAATAATAATGCTCAATCTTTTAATTACAAGTTCATGAATAAATCCTAAGAAAGTACTAACAAACTTTTTGGTGACTAAATGCCAAAATAATGAGCAACAGATACTTCTGTTGTATTAATCATAGTGTGATCATCAAAGACAGAATAATTGATGATGATAAACATAAATAATTAGTTTTAATTAGAAAAATTAATTAATGACATTCTTATTTATTTCATTTGAAAGTTTTAAATATTTTATATTATTTAAGTTTTAGATTACTATTATCACAAAGATTCAAATAAATCAAGCATTTTAGAAAACAGTTTAACTTGTCAATAACCTATTCGTATTGTTTTAAATTAGATGATTTGAAAATAACATTATAAATAAAACTAGATGGAAAGAATTATTATTGTAACAGTAAAAAATTCCAATGAGAAGCCTTAATTTATATCATAATACATCATATAAAATATAAAAAAATAATAAATATATTTTACTGTTAACAATACTTATACTGCCTTAAGAATGGCATATATATCAAGTTTGTATTAATTATTCATTGAACAATAGTCAGGCCTTTAAAAACCAAATTTGGTTTTTCATTGTACAAGGGCTGTGGAGTCAGTAAAAACTACTCGACTCTGACTCCTGATAATTTTAGTAGGCTGACTCTGACTCAAGCAAAATTAAATACCAAGTCATTTTTTGGGGGTCAGAGGCACTCATAGGGGGTTACCCTACTCTGAACTCTGACAGGAGCCCTGGGCATTTACCCAAATATTTTTATAGTTCGTTTTTTAATATTTAACTTACATTAATATTTATTTGTATAAAAAAATTAATTTTTAATACAAATATTTAATAAGAGGAAATGGGGGAGCAATAAAATTCTACATCTACATATCTTTATTCTACAGCTTTTGCACTTCAATTTCACCTTTCCAGAAAAGTTAGTACAACTAAAAAGGGTGAGATCTAGCTACTTCAGCCCCTTGTTCAAAAAAGAAAAATATATACTCTAATCAATTAGTCTGGCTCATTCAGTAAAATAGACTACTTATTTAGAACAGATTTTAATATTTTTGATTCATTCCTTTATTATCCTAAAGGAATGAATCAAAAATATTCAAATTCAATTGGGTCAAAATAATTTAAAATCTAAATACAAATACTACAAAGAAAACTATTGATACATATTTAATAAATTAAATTGTTGCATTTTGTATTTAAAATAAATGAATTATAACAAAATACAAAAACATTTAAAAAAATTAATAAATATAAAATAAATTTTCTTTCATTTAAATAAAAAAACTAAATTAAATTTAAAATGTTGGAGGAGGAGTCAACACATTTTTCCTGACTCCAACTCCT